TTGATATCCAATTAATATGGCGTGAACCCATTGACGCCTCAGGATTTGAGGCTCAAATTCACAACAGTGGGGATTGGGGAAACCATGTCTTGATAATTCAATTACACCATCACCTCCTGGAGTGCGCAGTTTTCAGAGCTCTCTACTGTGACATTGCAAAATAACACAATCGCACTCACAAACCAATCAACAAACTCTGATAGAAAACCAATACTAGAAGAAATGATTAGGTATAGGTATAATTGTAATTTCCAAGAAAGGAAATCAAAGTTCAACACATCCACAAAGACAAAGTTATAAGTTAATGACAACTGTCAGAAAATAATTTTATGATTACATGAATCTTCTCCATCGTCTTCCTATCAAATATCACGTCAATGATGGAAAGCACGTCTGTGGTTGAGTACATATTGGAGAAAAATAGAAGAAGAGAATATCAACCTAATATGGTCTATTTTGACAGAAACAAATGAGCTTTTTCCATTTTCAGGATGCCAGCGCCACTTGACAGGCAGACAGATTTTGATTCAAAGAACAGACAATATTGTACCTCCTCGCGTACTAGGTCGCCTACTAGGTTTTCATTTAGATCGACAATGGTTTAACCTCCAGGGTCGGTCATCTGACAGATCTTGCACGCAACCCATAGACAAACGAGTTTTGGTAAAGAGTTGTTCGTATTATTTGGTTGACGACAAAAAGGTGTGTCGACTGTGCCTGTCGAGTTCGCCTGACTGGTATTGCTATAGTGATGGAGTGATAGCGGAGATTTCTGAGGAACATTCCCCATGGAAGTACCTAGGAATGTGAAAGTAGTGAAAGATCAGGTTGTTCCCATATGTTTCTCATTTGTTGATTATATGGAAGTATATTCGGGTTACACAGACTCATGGTCTACCCTCCTTTTCTCCTTTGTCTTTCTAGCCATATTTCTGAAATATGAAACATCGAATTTGCTCACTAGAGGGCACTTTCTCACATTCCAGTTTTTTTTTTTCATTCTCCGAAATTCCTGGAAAAGACATCAGCTTTCGATTTTCGAATGGCAAACCCACGGGATTATTATAACAAATTCAACAATACCAGATTTGATTGGGTCATTTCAAATGATTACGAAGATATTTGCGTTCGAAGTTGCTATAAGTTCAATGAGTGCGACAGAGCAAGAAGTTTCGATATTGCGCCGTCACACTCATTGAACTTCGAACGCGAATATCTCCGTAATCGTTCGAAATAACCCAATCAAATTGTTGAATTCGTTATAATAATCCTCTATCGATTATGGAATGAAATATAGGATAATGTATCTGGAAATCGAAAGTTGATGTCATTTCCAGGAAATACGGAAGATGAAAAAAATTTCCTAAAATGTGAGAAAATGTACCTACCTAACTCTCAACATCATTCTCATTGTCCTCTCACAACAATTTGTCGAAGTTACAATAACTAGCAATGTATTGACATATTCATTTTCTCATTGTCTCCATTCAAGCACCAACTATTCAAAGTTTCATCAAATTAATCTTTCATAATCGATGTTAGTATTACCACCGAACATCAACTAAAGATGTTGATGTTCGGTGGTATTACTAATTTTTGTTCGATTTTAGCGATTCTTTATTTATCAATAGTTTGTATTATACGTACACCTGTAAATGGGCGTAAGCCTGCTGGATGTATTATTAATAATAATAATAATAATAATAATAATGTTTATTTGCAGATATAAGAATAACAAAAGCATACATTGACAGATAATAATATAATGATTAAATAAATGATTTGAGAAACGTGTATTATTTAGGTTCACAAAATTCAAGTTTCGCAAATAAACTAGACGAATCCCACAAAAATTACTGTACGTGGGATGAGTGTTCATTTATTCTTGAAAATCAAGTTTCATTTCCTATTAATAAGTTTGAATTTGCAACATTCCATATGATGGTTCCATTAATAAATTTATTTTCAATTTTCTATGAGTCGGGTGAAGTCTTTTCTGTCTTTGTTTTTCATGTACTGTTTCAATTTGTTTTTGAACATAGATTGCGAGGCAATGGATCTTATCTCGATGGGAATACTATTATACAGTCTTGCCGATAAGTATCGGTAGTTTTTTTTTCCAATGGTTTTTTTCGCTGTTGCTGTTTTACCTTGTAAATTCGATCTTCCTCTAGTGTTATGTGAGTGATCAATTAATTGAAAGAGATGTCTGGTTTTATGCTGGTATATAACAACTGTTTGGAAGAAAAGTTGCTTCATGTCAAATACATTGGATTCTTTGTACAATAAGTCTGAGGAATACGTACGATCTTTATTGAGGATAATTTTGAGAATCCTCTTCTGGATAACCTCTAATGTTCTGATATAAATATTTGAAGCTCCTCCCCATGCTATGATTCCATATTTCAATCTAGATTCAACTAGAGCATAGTAGACAATTTTCATATGTTTTATGTCGAGAAATGAACCGAAAAATCTGAATTTGTACAATAGGCTACATATGGTCTGTCGAACTTTTTTTATGTGAGTGTTCCATCGGAGATGGCTATCGATAGTAATTCCTAAATATTTAACTGATTCCGACGACTTGATCTCCACGACACTTGTGTTATTGTTTATGGTTAGTTTTTGAAAATATGGTAAACCATTTTTCTTACAAGAGAATGCGAGGTAAGATGTCTTCTGGTAATTTATCGTTAAAATATGTTGGTTGAACCAGTTGATTATAGTGCCCATCTCTTGTTCCACGGTTGCTTTCAGGTTTTGCCATGATGAGGACTGGTAGAAGATGGCAGTGTCATCAGCAAAGCTCACTATAGTTCCTTCAGTATTCAAAGAGAGAAGCTCGTTAAGATATACCGAAAACAAGATCGGTCCAAGGACCGTTCCTTGGGGAACTCCATATTTGATGGTTTGAATTGTGCTATTTGTATTATTGATCTTTACGTATTGTTTTCTGTTTGACAAGTATGTTTCAAACAAAGAGTATGCTATACCTCGAATTCCTAAACTCTCCAAAGCTTTCAACAGCTTGCCATGACTAACAGTGTCGAAAGCCTTGGCGAGATCTAAGAATACACAAAGTGAGGGAGAGCTGTCGTCTAGTGATTTATAGATCTTAGAAGTTAAACATTCAATTGCATCCTCTGTCGACTTTCCCTCGCGGAATCCAAATTGGTTGTTACTTAGTAAGTTATATTTATCTAAATAATCAGTCAATCTGTTCTTCAATATTTTTTCTAAAATTTTTGCTAGGTTTTTAATCAATGAAATGGGCCTGTAATTTATCATTTTGGTTTTGTCACCGCTTTTGAACAAGGGTTTTATCACTGACATTTTGAGGTTATCTGGAAAAGTACCGGTTTCTATAACTAAATTGAATAAGTAATTGAGAGGCTCTGCAATCTCATTTTTGATTTCTTTGAGTGTTTCTGCCCTGATTGAATCACTACCTGGTGCTTTGTTTGGTTTGAGAGATTCTATGGTTGCTATTATTTCATTGATACTAGTTGGTTTCAAGAATATTGAAGAAGATGCCGTTTTTCTGTTCGCTTGGGGATTTTTTACTTTTTCAATATTTTTAGCCAAATTGCTACCCACATTTGCAAAGTAATCATTGAATGAGTCTGCCATTGATTTATGATCATCTAATATTATGTCATTATCTAATATAATTTTTTTAATATTTATTTCTTTTTGTTCTTTCCCTACGCTTTTTATTGTTTTCCAAAGATTTTTTGAACAATTAGCATTTTTTTGAATTTGATTTTTGTAAAAATCGCTTTTTGCCTGTTTGATCAAAGAATCGATTTTGTTTTTGTATTGGAAAAACTCTTTTTTGACATCTTCATCGTCTTTTTTTTCTCTGTATTTTTTATAAAGGCTATCCCTTTTATTTATCGAGTTAACCAGACCAGCGGTTATCCATTGTTTCCTTTTAATTTGATTATGTTTTTGTTTAATCACTATGCTGGCCTCACTTATACCTTTTTCTAAAATTTCTGTAAATATATCCATACTTTTATTAACATTGTCCTCTCTGTAAACTGCCTCCCATGTTTCATTCTGTAAACTTTCTTTCAATTCTTTGAATTTAATATAAGTTATTCTATTTTTATTTTGCGGTGCGTGTGATTCATGCTCAAGTGTATCAGATGTAAGAGGCAGGAATATTATTGTAGAAAAATGATCAGTTATACCAGATTTGAGGATACAGGAAAAGGCATTATCAAAATTTTCTGCATTCTTGGTTTTGAGAAATATATGGTCAATATTTGTGCCTTTATCAGAACATTGAGATCTAGTGATTCCATTGATTGCAGAAAAAAAATCATATTCAGCAAAATTATTGATATATTCGAGTACAATATCATCTTCACTAAGAATATTTATATTCATGTCACCGACCACCACATGGTAATCTAGATTATTCTTATTATTATATTCCAGGTAGTCCCTTAGCGCGACCACGAAGGATTCTGGATGATTAGATGGAGATCGGTAAATAGCTGTTACAGTAATATTTTCATGTTCTGTTCTGATCGATATTTCGATTGCTTCATGAATATCTAATTTGACAATTCGATAATTGTATTGGATATACTTTTTCAGAAAAATTAATATTCCATCATTTTTGTTGACTTCACCCGAGTTATAGACAATCTCGTAATCTTGAAGAGTCAACATTTCTAGATCAACTGCTTGGAAGGTTTCTGTCAATATGATGCAGTCATATTCGAAATTGAATTGTGTTAGGTATACTTTCAGTTGGTCCAGATTTTTGTTGACACTCCGTATATTTTGATGAAATATTTTGAATTCTTTTCTAAGCTTCTTCCTAGAAATTTGTTGATTCAAACATTCAACATCATCTATTTCAAATGTTTTTTTAAGATTATATTCATAATCGCGTATGTAGGGATTCATATTGAAACTTTTATTTATAATAGAAAATAAGATTAATATAGAATATAGAAATTATGTTTTTATGCGACAAATATTTATGTTTTTATTGGCTTCTTTGCTGCTCTTGGAGGATTCTTCACGTACTTTTTTGTGTTTGGTTGTTCTGGTGGTGTTTCTAGCTCCTTCCGCTTATTGGAATAATAATTGTTCTGCTCACCGAGTTTTTGGTCTTCGGCTATTTCTTGATCGATTTCACAAGCTAGTATCTGAGGGTTACTTTCTAACTCTTCCAAGGTATATTTGATATTATCAACGATGAGTGAATTTTGCTTGATTGTTGCTTTTATGTTATTTCTTCTTGCCTCGTTCAAATATTGTCGCAACTTTTTATTTATTTTACGATCTTCTACACTCAGGTCGTTATTAATGTATATATTTGTGCCTTTTAGTCTGTGTGTGTTTCGTAATATCTCAACTTTCTTGAGGAATGTTACCAATTCAATCTTCACTGGTCTTCTCAGATTATCTTTGTTCTCTCCAACTTCGTATATATTATTAATGTGTTCGTGTTGTAGGTTTATTTCAAGTATTTTCTGGAGGTTCGAAATATTTTCGAGAATATTTTCAGTTGGTGGAAGGCCAAATACCAATATATTGTTTTTCCTATTCTTATTATCTAATTGAACTATCTTTCCCTTTGTTTGTGTGTCACTCTCGATCAATATTTTCACTTTATCTTTTTCTTCTTTTAATTCTACTTTTATTTGTTCTATCGTCCGATTTGTTTTTTCTGTGTTACTTTCTATTGACAGAAGTTTCCTGTAGACATCTTGCAAAGTTATTTCGTATTGGTTATCTGCCATTTCGCGATGTATAAATTTCGGTGTCGCCTGACGCACTTCTTCAGCAGTGCGGATTCGAATTATTGAATGAATAAATGAATTAATAAATGAATGAATAAATAAAAATCCGTTGTCCCAATTTTCAGAAATAAAGCTAGAAAAACTAAACGAGAAAAGACCATGAGTCTGTGTCACCCGCTATACCATTACTAATAACATGTCACCTTTTCAGGCATGTTTCAATGTCCCAATTGTTGGAAGTCTTATAAAATGGAATACACTATGAAACGTCACTGGAAGTACGAATGTGGAAAGTTGCCATCCTTCTTCTGTTCATACAGCGGTTGTAAATATAAAGCACACAGAAAATGGTCTGTGACTAAGCACTGTCGTCTAGTCCATGATATATATAATGATGCATGTTAAACCAAAAAATACAGATGTGAAAAATTAGTGAAACAAAAAATGTATAGATGATTTGAATAGTTTGCGAGATATATTCTTTTCTGCAACCGACACAAAAGTCGTCCATTTCAATAAGTACCAAAATTGGCTCTTAAATTGACGTTTCTTTTACTGACACAAATATAGATATGTTGCTATGTTGCTAGGCAACACTTTCAGTTCCTAGGACCTAAAGTTGAACTAACTTCAGCTCCTAGGATCTGAAAAGGATGTACTAGGTCATCAGGGTTGGGGACGCATACTTGATTTTTTCCCGATATCGGCAGATTTGGCATTTCATTCCAATGCTGGAGATATTATTAAGTATACCATTATAGTTAAATATTCTTGTTTTGATCAGGAAAGCCTTCAAGATTCACATACCTTGCTTGTTTTAATTCGATGTCAAAATCCATCATTTCGATTTCAATAGTGAATGAAAATATCACCTAACGTCAACCTTTGCTTCTGCTTCAAATGATGCATTATGAAATACATTCGATATTTTTGGAAATACAAATGACTATTTCGGAATTTGAAGTGCTAGTTTTTGACAATGATTTGATGATCTTGAAATATAATTAATGTTATTTTGATTTAAAATACATTTGATACTATTCGAAATTGAATTGACTAATTCGAAATACAAAAGATGCTTTTTGAATCCAAATGACAATTCGGAAATACAATTGATCATTTTTGAACCAAAATTGGAAAAGGTGTATAGTTCGGATGACAATACCGAAATTTGTTGCCTACCAGACTAAAATAGTATGTAGTAGTCTACTTTTGTGTAGCCTTGACTTGACTTGAGTGCAAGTGGCAGTTATTTCATGAGTTCTCATAATAATATTTCATTCAATTTCAGCTAATTTCGTGTCCTACTAAAAGATTTTTCTCCCAATTTACGTATTCAAATGGAGTTCCACAACCTAACCTCAAAAACATAATGAAATCAAAACAAAGTTGGTAACGTTAGTCAACTGGAGAAACATGGTGTAAACATGCGTTAACTAGGGCATTTTGTCTGAATTTAGTTAGATCTCCTTAGTAAGCATACCAACTATATCCATACGGATAACCATGGCCATTTTCGTTCAATTTCGATTTTTTCGCGCTTCTTTGTGTGCTGGCGCCTGCAGCCTGGGTCTCCCTCGTGCCATCCTATACTGAGGAAAATTTTGCTATCAGAGTTTTCGCTGAGATATTTCTTGCTACAATCACATGCACTGAAAAAAAATTGAGTGAAATTTCACTCAAGGTCCACGCAATAATGAGTCAGTTTCGGTCCACGCCCGATTGAGTTGAAATTTCACTCTACTTGACTGTGTAAAATGGTAATTCATAAACCGATTCAATCAAATTTGTTACAAACCTTCTCATTCATATGAGAACTTGATGAAATATCTAGTTTGAGTTGAGAATTCACTCAAATATTTCGATCAGTAAATTCACTCACAAGCACATATGCATTCACTCAGAGGAATTTTCTACAGTGTGGAATCATATTACCGTTATACATTTTCCGATACATTTTCGAATAGAAGCAATACCTTGAAATTCTATGATAATATGAGCAATAAAGACTTTGCTGAAAGTGAATTTCCTGCCACAGGAAGGTATACTGCTGTCGCTATCAGACAGCCACTCTGGGACAGCATGATTTTTTTATAATAGTCTAGCTGAACTACTACTAGTGAGTAATATTTATGCTTGTGGCTGCGAGGTTCATCGCATAGAACTGCACTCACTACCAGTAATACAACTGTCAGCCTGCCACGAAAATAATATTTGACTCGTCCCCCTCTATATATAAGCATTTGTCAGACTTCTTGCTTGATCAATCATTCACAGTTGGGCTCTTCATGCAAACCCATGTACAGGACGACAATCTCGATGACACGACAGTTTGGGATACTTCCTCTCTTTGAATTCAATTCATTATTTAAAATTTGAATCTGGGTTCAAATATAAAATGGAAACATTTTGAAACAAATAAAATAATCTTCTGTGTCACTCTCGCAGTGCTTACGTATGAAAAAGGTGAGTTTTTTTCTAGTTATTTCGACTGAAATTCAAATATTTCACATTCAACATTTCCTTCTTTTTGGTACCATGAAACTTAAAAATTGTCAAATATGTTCCAGAACTCCTCTATAGAATGTGGTCTAAAAACTTATTGTGAGCGAATATGTTCAGGTCATGAAATTATTTGAATGATTTCACTGGTAACATTTTGTTTTCCTGTATCTGTGATAACTTGCCTAGTTTTCGAGATGAAATGGTTTCAGAAGGTTTCAGAAAAATTCTTTTTTCCATTAATAACTCAAAAACCTTTTGTTTTTCCTGAGGGTGAAGTGAATTTGGATTTCAGTCAAAATTTCACTTTTCTTGATGACAACAATCCTGGAAAATAACTGAATAACTACAGCAAGAAGGTCATGCAACTATCTATATGATCACCCATCAAGAGTAGCAAAGTTCCCTACCTACGATTATAACATTTCCCTACTCCCATCATTAGATGCACTCACTAGCGGTAGCAAAGTCAGATACGGACTACAGAAACATCGTATAATAGCAATAATAGCAGCAAGGTTCGATATCTAATGATCGCAGGTGGGTTAAAGTCAGTAAAGTCGATTTCATAATCACAGGTGATAACTCGCTTGTCCTCTATGCTATTAGAGTTTCTTGCTGGGATGATTCGATTTCTGATTATGGTTAATAGGAATTTTCCTCAGTGTAGCTACAGCCCTGAAAATTGAATGAATACAGGTTGTCTTGTAAAAATCGATTCTCTGTAGGTACCATTACTTATATTGACAATTTTGCAGGCATGTTCCAATGTCCCGGCTGTTGCAACTATTACAAGAAACGAAACACCATAGAACGCCACTTGAAGTATGAGTGCGGCACATTGACGTCTTTCAGCTGTTCGTATTCCGATTGCGACTTTAAGGCAAGCAGGAAGTGGTTAGTGAATGAGCATTATCGTCTCGTACATGATGAAGATTGAGACACAAAATGTCAAATGTATATACTTAGTGTTTTCTGGAATTTCGTGAAATAGATAATCTATTGAACACTTTATGAATTACCTAGTATAAATGTTTGAATCACCCTATATAGTATTGTTTAGCGATCACGGAATGATAGTGATTTTCTACGAGAATGAAGTTTGCAGCATGAGCCATAGGCAATCATTCGAGTACGAAATTAGCATTCCGTGTAAGTTATACACTATTATTTTTTCTACGGCTATAATAGATAACAGCGACAATTTCAATTTCTTCGCGTCTTAACAGGCCTGTTCGTTTGTACTTGCTCAACCTGCTAAACTTGATTTTTTTCTATGACTTTCTTTGTTTACATCATGGCATGAACAGAGACAACTATGGGAAAAAGATCAACTTTAGCCAGTTTAGCAATACAAACGAACAGGCCTATTGCCATCTGATTTCCTGTCAATTGATGCTCATCTATCAGACAGAGCTGTCATTGCTTGCAATTTGACATTCCATGGGCGATGAGTTTTTTTTTCAAATAATAACACAATGGAGTTATTGTTATATCAGATACGGAAATGAAATTCTTGCACTGTATGAAACAAAATCCGTCCTTATCGATTGTTTCAATATGATGACAAAAAAATCCTAAATTTGAAAAATCTCGATTTTGAACACCCTATATCTCTGTACTCATTCCCGCTAGACCCCAAGTGTGATGCATTGATCAAATCAGCTCTCCAGAGAGAATCTGAAAATACAATGAAAAATAGGGTGTTCCATTTAAAAAAATCAAATAGTACCCTGTATATCGTTTGTCCCGAGCACCCTATATTTTCTGATCAAGCGGAAAAAAACTTTATCGAAAATCATTCAAGATGATATTTCAAATTTTGAGGAGGGGGACATTTATGGTAAATCACCCTGTACCAGAACATAAAAAAATTGAACTTTCTTCTTAGAATGGGCTCAAGAATCGCCTCCTCGAATATTGATATTTAAATATGAAACACCCTGCATACTGCTAGTGGTGATAAAAATTCAATGGTATGTGAAGAATAATATCAGCCTCAAGATATAATCTTGGTCTCTGGGTAATACTGATATTCTTTACTACCTTGGTGTATAAATGACTATTATATGATAATGATATGATAATGATTTTTATGCGAAAGATTCACTGGTCTCGAACAACGGCAACATACTTTTGCTTGGGCTGGACATTTACTATATGAATGATTCATACCACATCTATTACAATTATTGAAATTCCTCTCATGATGTGTGCCTTGCATTGTTATTCCTATATATATGGCGCACAATTTGATCAGGCACAACATTGGTTTTATATTATTTAAAAAAATTATATCCTTTTCATTCCGCAGATTGTTAGTCATCATCAAATACATGCTAATATAATATTTGATGATATAAGGTTCTTCTCAAACTGATACAGCATTTTCATGAAATAAAAAGTAAAAAAAAGATTCGACCGTGACAGGACTCGAACCTGCAATCTTCGGATTCGAAGTCCGACGCCTTATCCATTAGGCCACACGGTCTTGAAAC